CGACCCTCTCTTCACCCAAACGCTTGCACGTTGCAATGCTTTCTGTTACTTTTCACCGGCGTCTGGCAGTTGTAAATGACAGACGTCAGAATGGCACAAAAGACAACGTCTGGCATGTGGATATGGATAAGATGCAATGGGTCACGATGTGGCTCTGTTGCTATGGATCTATCTCACTATCTCCTTTTGTCTCTCCCTCTCTCACACTTTCTATCTCTCTCTCTCCTTTTTTCTCTATGTGTGGTGCATTGGATGCTGTGTCAGTTGCCATTGCGTTTACCACATTTCAGCGCCACTTTCTGGCAGCCATCGATTTATTTACACTAATTTGCGCTGAGCTGCTTGCCCAGTAACTGACTCTCAGATTGGACTTGTCACTGCTGATCCGTCAGTTGCCAACGATCTGGGCATTTATACTAGCCAAGGAGCTAGTGAGAATCTAGTCGGAAAACAGCTGCCTTTAACAGCTGCCTTTAAGGCAGCTAATCAGCTTAAACTTCTGAGCTGCAAACTGAATTGCGTTTGCGAATGGGCCGTAAAAGTTTTCCAAATGCACACTCAGCCGAGGCCGAGGTAATTGTTCGTGAAGCGACTGTGAAAAATGGCATTTAAATTCGTTTGGCAACTGTTACAGCAACTGTTGCTAAAACTGCAACTGCCACTGCCCCAAATGTCAAATTTCAAAAAAAAAAAAAAAAAACACATAAATAAAACCAAAAGCAAACCAACATCAAAATAAACAAAAAATGGCAGTTGAAATGCAATTCGGTTTCAACGATATGTTGCATGCATATTCAATGCCACCAAACGGGGCAACTAGCCCAAAATTCGTGGCTCGCACGTGTTGCCAAAGCGTAGTACGTTGCTGGTTAACTTAATTTACTTAACTTTTTCGTGAAATGCCGACAGAAAAAAAGTAAAACAAAACAAATACGGAGCACAACAATGAAAGAAAAAAATCGTTGTACAAATCGCGACGAAATAATTGAATTTTCATTTCCGTTTTATGTGTTTACTTCCGCCGCGTGCTACAGGCTGAACATTTCACAATTTTGACGGCCCTTGGCAACGGGCCTCATAAATGAGGGACAGCTACTTACACTCTCTGCCTCCGCCGTTCCCCTATTCCCCGCTATATGTGCCCCAATTTCATTCTGATTTCGACCTATTTGTATACAAAAGCACTCAATTTCTGGCAGGCTTGAAAAACTTTTTAAGTCAATTGTCAAAAAGTTTTTAACGTCTTTTCGGCAGCAGCAGCATGGCCACGCCCATCATTTCTATTGCCGTTGCCGTCGCCTGTTTCCGCCGAAATTGAAATATAATTCGGTAAAGTTTTGCCGTACGTGGCCATAAATCAATGGCAGACAAAGGCGGACAACTGAAATTGATTTAAGCACCGAAAGTGTTGTGGGCGTGGTCTCCAATCAAATGAAACACTGACACATAATGTGGTCAGCATCAGTTCAGAGATACGCTCAGGCTTTGGCGTAAACTAAATGCGTAAAGTTTGGTGAAGTGGTTAAGAAATGACACCCGAGAAACACTACCCTTTGGCAACTTGAGTTTTGCTTACCCAATACTGACTTGAGTCATCAGTCCCGTGAGAAACACTCATAAGACTTAATTGAGAATAAAGTATTTAACATAAGGTCAATGACATACTCGTTATATTCATAAGATATGCTTAAATACCCAAGTCCGATGATCATAAAAAGCCTTCCTTCAACGATTAATCCAAAACTACCTGCTACTGCTCATGAACCGAAACGAATACTCATTAAATTAGTGTGTAATAATCTTAGTACTCTAGGAGCAAAGTCATAAGACTCTAGCAGGCATATTTATAAATTTTATATACATACAATACTCACAATACGCATAAGACACGACTAAAGCACTCATAGTACTCAAGCCAAATACTCATTGTACTCACTCACTGCATTTGGCATCTATTAGGAAATGTTATGCTTAGCTATCCGTCTGTTACTCATCTTTCATTTTGATGAGCGACCCGGAGCAGAGTTCATAATATTTGCATAAGCTGAAATATGCAACCTTCAGTTCTGGTTGTAAAATTCACAACTATCCATAAAAAAAAGGCAGCCATAGCAATCGCTGAACCGCAAATCGCGGGTTTTATGGCAGGTTCTGTCAGAGTGCCATCTGCTTTTGTCTAAGCACTTGCAATCCCATTGGCTTTTTACAGCATTCGTTTTTTTTTTGTTTTTGTTTTTTGTACTATTAAAAACAGTATAAACATGCGCCACGTTGTCTCATCAAATTTCAACCGGGCTGTCCCTTGCCTCCAGTTTCCCGCCACTGTCCGATCTCTTGTCAGTTGTTTTGTTGTTCTTGGCACATGTCGGAGAATACTCGAACTTCAAACCGTGCTTATTGCTGGTTCATTTTGTGCTCAGCGCGTCACTTGCACATTTAATTAAGTTTACGGCACGCTGCACACGTAAAGGACACGAAGGAGCAAGCCAGACGCCTGGCTGCAGGCTGCAAAGGGCGAAAGGACGCTATTAATTAAATTGCTTTATACAGTTAAGTCGCCAAGCCAAAAAGTTTGTGTGTCAACAATTGGAATATTAACGAACCAACTAATGAGACTCCACAAAAGGCGCGAAGCAATCGCTGTCTGTACTCTTTGTGTGCGAATGTATCTCTGTGATTGTGCGTGTGTGTGTGTGTGTGTGTCTACAACAGAAACTAACTAAAAGGCTTATTAAATGTTTGCTGTTGGTGACTCCACCTGTCGGTTGTAAGATCAAAGGCCCTTCGAAACCCTGCATTCGCCCACAAATCCTGTCTGACTGCCACAAATCATGCGCTCTCTGACAGACAGCTCGTCCAATTATTGCCCAACTCTGTCTACTTGCCATGTCTACTAATAAATCCGCTCAGTATGGTACTCTGGACCAGCATACTTAGCACTCGGAAACATAGGTTGCTTTAATAAATAGCGACAACAGGGTTCAAACCAGTAGCTTAGGTGCTGACGCCCTTTGAAGTGTATTAGGCCAATAAGTTACTCTTGCCTGCGTTGTTCTGTAAGCACTTTTCAATAGATGTGCAAAACAAAATATATATAGGCCAGAAACTATACTATAATGGGAAATATATTGCTTAGTTTATAGGCTTATAGTTGTGCGTGGAGTCGCTCATCATTAGGTTCTCGTTTAAATTTATAAAATTTAAATTTTGTTCGATATTCGTTTATTGATTAGTCCATTCGTTACTTATTAGTTCAGCATATCGTTTGCACTCAACACTTATTGTTTACGTGTTTCAGTTAAGCTCAGTTATCGTTGGTTGATTTTATCTTTCACCCGCAATTCGTTCTCGTACTTGTACTAGACTCTCAGCTTCTCGTTCCTCGTCTAAAACTCGTCTCGTTAGCATCTGCCGCTATCGTTCTATACGCCTGTCGCTAGACACTTTCATTTGTGTGTCTATGATTCACTTATAAATCCCTGAATATTAGCCACCCATTTAATGGTTACTCACTGTTGTTAGATTCGTCGTTGGTTTGTCGTATCGCTTGTACTCGTTACTCCTAACTACTCGTTGCTCGTTTGTTACTTGTCTGGTTAGTATCTTCTTCTGTCGGTCTATATGCCTTTCGTTTTGTCTAGTAATTTTCAGATTTTCCTTGTGTGGTTTCGTTATTTAATGTGCCAAACAGCCCTCGCATTAAATTTTATTTCTTTGGAGATCCCTTTTGACTCGTTTCACAGCGACGACACACATGCAAAGCGAAGGGCAGCATATTAAATATTTAAACCGCTTGCCGTACACAAATCCAGCAACCGAATCGACTTATATTAAATACACTCAAACAACAACTGGCAATCGCAGATAAGCAGCGTGTAGTGAGCGAACAGAGGGTAAAGAGCCAGCGGCCATATAATGTGCAAATCCAGTGCATCGGCAACAGCAGCAGCAGCAGCAGCAGCAGCAGCAGAAACAGCTGAAGAAGCAAGTGGCGGTAGGCGAGGCTTCAATTCCAATTCCAATGGCAGTGGCAAAGTTTGAGTTCCCCTGCCAATCGTTTGGCATTTACATTTAAGCTGATAAGCAAAGTGCTTCCGCCTCCAACCAGTTGTCACTTGCGCTCAGCTCACCTGGCTGACGATTCAGCTGTGCCTCGCCAGAGCGTCAAAAAATGTGAGCATGTCGCAAGTTTATGAAAACGCAAGCGTTGAAATTTACATTTGAGGCACGCACTTTACATTATTAATGCCAGACACTAAAGGTGGCGCAAAAACAAAAAAATTAGTTGCCAACGGATGTGGCAGCCATATAAGTTATGCACACATGTCAGTGTGTGTGTCTGTGAGTGTTTATGTATGCGAGTGTGTGTGTATGTGTGTGTGTGTTTGTTGTAAATGCTTCAGCCATTTGGCAAATGTATCGCATTTCGTTTTGTATGTTTGCACTTTTTCGCATCGCTGAGAATTTTCCAATTTTTGCTGCTAATATTTATTAATCAAGTAATAGCAACACACACGCACACACACACACATTCTCACACACTCACACACATACACGCACACATAGACAGAGAGTGAGAGTGCTCTTATGAATATATGAGTGCGGCACTTGTCTTTTTTTGTTGTTGATTTTTTGCACAAAAATTGATTGGGAATTTATAAGCTAAAGTTTTCACAGCATTTTCTTGTTTTATTTTTTGGGCACACCAAAAAATAAAATCAAATAACAAACTTTTTTTTTGGCTTTGTTGCTGCCAATTTTTTTTTTGTATTGGCTGCCATTCGCAGCACTTGAAAAGGTCACCACATGTGTGTGTGTGTGTGTGCGTGTTTGGCTATTGACTTTTCTCTATGTCCAGCCATATGCTGAATTACAAGTGGAAACTTTAACGTGCCCCCAAAAAACTTGAACTGGATTTACATAAAAAAATCATTTGATATACTCTGTATGTATATACGAATATATACATATATATTCATATTCGTATAGTTGCCAGAGCAGGCTTTGACGTAACTAAAGCTGTCTGTCAAAGTGAAGCTGAATAAGCAAAAACTAAAACAAATCAATCTACGTTCAAGCCTCGTAACGTGCACATCACAAAAGTAAGTTTCATAAACTATAAAAAATACATTTTTATATTAAAATTGTAATGGGAGATGAATGGAAAAAATGTGTTGAAAAGTTTTGCGTATAATCGAAATTTCTGCTCGTTATTTCGTTCTATTGTAAGCACAGGCTGAGTTATTTTTGTAAATTTACTAATATAAAAAGTTTTCTCTCATATATTTTCAGCTCTTTTTTTCCTGAATTCATGCGAAGCCTTTGACTACTGCGAAAATACCCCACGACAAGCTGCAACTATGATGAAGCTATTGGCTCACATTTTAATCTTGATCTGCTGTAAGTATGCTCAATTTAAAATTGAAATACCAACTCTATTGGGCGTAAACATGCCTCATAGATGGCTGCCTGTTGCTGCCACAACCCACGCACACTCTGCGCATCAAGCGCTCTGATAGCCTGGCCAATGCCACAAACAGCAACAACTTGAAAGCCAACCAGGCGAACTCGGTGTTGCCTACTCTGACCAAGGCTTTGGGCACTGCAGAGCTTGCCGGTGCCGATAAGCCACAAGTGAAGATTGCGGGCCCAGCCGAAGCTGCAGTTGTGGCAACCACAAATTCCACCGGAACCACAGTAGCAGAAGCAGCGGCAGCAGCTGACGTCGCCACAGCAGCGACTGCTGCTGCAGCAGGGTCTACTGAGCCTGTTAAGAACATGGGGCAGCTGGATGAAGCTCAGTCCAACGAGTTGGCCGCCCGCATGCATCGCGGCAAGCGTCGCATGTCGCTCATAGACGAATCGCTGTTGCCCAAGACGTTGCATCATGGTCGCCACCATGCCACAGCAGGTGGCGTTGGTGGTGCCAATGCCGTCGCCAACGCCGCAGCAGCAGCAACAGCCGCAGCGCCACCCTTTGTATACTACAACAAGATGGTATCGCCGGATGGCAAACAAGAGCTCAAGGAATTTCAGCTGATGTCGCCCAATATGGTCATTGAGAGTGTGCAGCATGACATGAACTATGGACCTGCCGCCGACATGGGCGGCGGGGTGTTGCTTTTGAATGCCGAGAACAATTTGAACGGGCGTATTCGCACCATGACCAAGCCGAAGCATCATCACAAGCACAAATCCCTGGCATTGCCGCCCTTTCTGTTCCTGCTGCAGCAGATGTTGCAGCCGAACATGAATCTCGATCTGGAGACGATGCCACAGACGCAACGCAATCGCTTGGAGGCGCCTCTTTATCAGTTCCTCGATAGCGCCGTGGACAATGCGTTGCGCAACAATCACGAGGTCTTCGAGCATCTTGTTTCCGATCATGAACTCGACCTGAGCGATAATAATAAAGAGAAGGATAAAGACAGGGACAACCTTGAATTGAAATCGGACAAGCCCAAGGAAGCTATTGAGTTGGCAGCAAATCGCAAGGAAGATGAACTAGTCGTTAGCTGCCCCATACACCATGAACACCATGCCAGCAATAATGGCGAAATGGTTGACGACGACGTTGTCCTGGTCAATGAGTGTCATATCGTTTAGGGAAAACCACCACACAACAGTAGGGATTTCGAGATTGAGGGCACTTGAAAATAGTTAGCTGCGAATTTTATATTTTTGGCTTGTTCGAAGGCGCAACAAAATTTTTAGGTAGGCTTAATTTCAGTTTCATTTTTAGAGTTTCTTAACCAGTGTTTCTCAAATTGTTTAGAGTTTGTTTTTGGGTTCGAAGTTCTACACAGAATGATAAAAAAAAATTGTTGCCAAGTTGTGAAGCAGGCTTAAATTGTACAAAATAAAAAACAATATCAATTCCTGTAAAAACGAGTCTGGATTTAATTCGTTAATTGCCTATATTAGTTACTGTCTGTGGCAATCGTTACTCGTTATGCTCCCGTTGCTCAGTTGTTCTCGTTTTGCCCATCGGTACTCGCATATGGTCGTGAGTCATTCGTACTCGTAATTGGCGCTCTTCGCCCCTTTATAATGCCAGCAGCAACAGAGGTAAATTAAATGAATTATAAACGAATTATTAACTATTAAATTCTTACCTAGAAAAATATATTGCTAATCAAAGCGTTCGTTTGAGTTTTAATCGATATTGAATTCAAAGTGTTTCTGTGGAATTCAAGACATTTAATCGGAATTACCTTCAGAATTTCCAATAAAAGTCGATTTGGCGAAAACTAATATGCTGCGTATGCCAAATAAGGTATGCTGTCAAACAAGCAAATAAATTAGGTACGCACACACAAACAGGAGCTCATGGGCTGTAGTGTGTGCCTGAGGATAAAGTTTTGCCTGGTGTTGGCTGCTAAATGCTAAAAGCTGCTAATTTCATATACAATAAAACTAATGTAAATTGCCACTTGCCATTCGGCACGCATTTGTATTTGTTAGCTGTGTGTGTGTGTGTGTGTACAATACATGGACATTAAATGGAGCACATAATGTGCTGAAAGTCAGAAGAGCATTGAAAGACAAACCCCAGCCAAACCGAATGCCAAGCGAATGTCATGGGTGCTTTAGCTACAGCATAAATACAAATTTGCTTTACAAATGCACGTCAGCAAGCGTGTACGTGTGTGCCTGTGTGAGTGAGTGAGCGAGTGTGTGTGAGTGTGTGCTTGAGTTGATGTTTGAATGTTGCCTTAAGTGTACATTCAATGTACATAAGTGCATACAAATACACAAGGGTATACCATTATATATAAGCTTATATAATAGGGAAATGTGTGCGTGTGTGCCGCAAGAGCAGAAAAGTGCAACGCAGCATTCGTAAATTGCGTAGCTGCTCTGGCATTGTCCCTGGGGTGTTAACTGGAGTGTAAATGTGAATGTATGTGCAAGTTTGCGTGGCAACCCATTTCGAGTCATGACACACGCCCCCGCAGCCGCCTTCTAATCTAAAAACCTATACCAACAGTTGGCCATACACGCGTGTTGGCCAAGGCATATATAACATACATATAAAACTATATATCTATATGCTCGTATATTTATTTACAATTGTAAACACTAAATGCAGTTGACAGCCAACGTGACACATTGGCTTTGGCAGCAAACGGGAACTACCAAAGTTCCCGCTGGGCTCGCCACTCGCGGGGGCAACTTTCAACGCTGCTTAAAGAGCTGGTTTTTCAGCAGGCGAAAGGGTCGGTCGGGTTGGCGGATATAACAAATGCATTAGCTAGTGAAAATACATGGATTATGATTTCAATGACAGCCATAAGCATTAGCAGAGATAATGCATAGGGAGCTGGTTCATTCAAGAAATTCGAAAATGCGAACTCTTCAAATTACCACAAACAATTTTTATATAATGTGATTAAATTCGCTTTTGAGTGGGGATGACAACAAAATAATTTGATACACAACCATAAACTGAAACGCAGACAAACGAATCGACTTTGGCTGTTTTGTTAATCTTTTTGTTGGCTGCTTTCAAATTTATGGCTCATAATGAGGAAGCGGGCGAGTGTAGGGATGGGTCTGCCCCATGGCAGGGGTGAATGGCCCCATAAGCAGGCCATCAGTGAAAAGCGTTGCCAGGGCTTCTATTGACATTTGTTTAAGTTGCTGCTGTTCCTGTTACTGTTATGGTTGCCATTTGGCAGCTTGTAATTATGTTTGCCACAAGTTGTTGCCAAAAAGTTATTATCTAGATTTCATAGTCAAAAGCCATGACGGCGGCAACGGCGGCGGCAACAGCATCAAATTCAATTGAACTGTTGAGTCAGCATAGCCCGCCAGCCCGCCAGCTCTCTAAACTATTGAAAACATTCAGAAAGTCAGCGCCACGTTTGTCCTCTAAGTCCATTCAAGCTAATTTGCAAAAGCATCGAGAGGAAAGTTTTCGAATTTAACTGCCAAGCATCAACAAAATGGTTTAATAAAGAGCAAAAGATTTGTAAGCTTTAAGAACAAGAGCAAATTAAACCGAGAAAATGTTGATAATATAGATAAAAATTGTTGCAAAATAGTTGTGTAGCATAAATAACGATTTAATCTAGACATGTGCTCAGAAAACTTACCGTTCTGCTGCTTACTGTCACATGAAAAAGTCACTGCTTTGGCAGCGGAAATTGCAGATTCTGAAGTTGCAGTTGCAACAGAAGGCGCCAGCCTGCAAAAATTGAAGAAAATATTTCTTAGTCTTAAAAAAAAATGGTATATATACACATAACACTAAATCAATAACAAGTGCTAGCTGCAGTAGAGGAAGTTGCTGAGAAAAAAAAGCACAATAAATCTCCTACATAGCCCGCTCGGTTCAACGAGAAGCTATATACACTGTCATAGGTTAAATCGGCAGTGCGCTGCAAAGTGCTTACACTGGCTGTTTTTTCATTGCTTTAGCGGCTGTCATACACGGCGTATGCGTCATCTGACAGCAGAATTATGCAAATTCTGGCGCATCAGATTCAAAAGCAGGCCACGCACACACGCACACACTCAGATGACAGCTGCAAAAATAAGCAACACCAACAAAAAGCGAATATTGTTTATTTTGCTTGGCAGCTGACAGCCAAAAAATCAAAAGCATTGCAACGCTGACACTCGGAAATCAATAGCAAATCAACACCAGCAGCTGCGGCAGCAGCACCAGCAACAAACATCAGCAGCGATTTGGTTGCACATCAAAGTGGCTTTAAATGCGGCAGAGATCCATTTCGATTGTCAACAACAGAGGCGTTGGGGCATGCTACAAATTTATGTTGCACCCGTTCGAGTGCTGGAGCTGTTAATTGAGTCATGCCCGTTGCTCGAGATTGCTATTGTTCCTCTTGTTGTCCAAGTCAAATTTATTTGCCACGCGTTGCTGCAAAGTCCGCTTGTGACTGTGGAATGCAACAGAAAAAGAGGTTGGTGAGTGGTTGCAACAGGGGAGGGTTCAGCTATATGAATGCATCGTGTTGCGTGCAACTTTTACAAGTGAAAACTTTGCTGTCAGAGATACTTTATGTGCAAATTTTTGGTTGGGCAAGATACACAATGGCAACAAGCACACACGCATACACACGCACACAATTGGTCAGCAGTTTGCTGGTGCTGCGGCTGTCAGTTGCCAAGTCATTTGCATGCACGCATAGCACAAATACAAATACCAACGGGCCATGCAACACAAGCAACTACAACCAAAAAACAAAGAAAGTCAGAAAGAGAGAGAGAGAGAGAGAGAGAGAGTGTGTGTGTAAGAGAGAACTACAAAAATGCCTTCGCTTGCAACTTGAAAGCAACTGCAACAACAAATTTGACCGCCTGTTAGCATATAAATCACATTGTAAAAGATAAATTGAAAGCTGTTGTGGCTACTGCCGTCAACTTTCCCCTTTCCACCCTATCCGTACCCCTATACCCAACCCATTCCAGTGCTCATTCTCTGGCTGATGCAGCTAATGCAATTAACATACGCACGAGCAATGCAAATGGCAAATACTATCATGAAAGCTACATTGACAAATTTCAGGGCACATTTTAAAGCTGACCCTTGCACTCCGCAGACAAGTAAATATTAGACACTGCTCAGCAATATAAATTACAGTTAAGCAGCTTAGGGCAGCGCATTTAACAGAAACGCGCATCCACAAGATACGTTGCATGAGAACACTAATTGTTGTTAATCTGATTTTGGGAATGAAGCAGTTGTAGAAAACTTTATGCATCTGAGAATTTAATAACTCAATTCAATGTAGATCAATCTCTCTCTATCTATCGATCTTTCTATCTATCTATCTATCTATCTATCTATCTATCTATCTATCTATCTATATATCTATCTATCTATCTATCTATCTATCTATCTATCTATCTATATATCTATCTATATATCTTTCTCTTTATCTCTCTTTCTCTCTCTTTTGCACTGCTAAGTATTACAACTGTGTCTGCTTATCACATGAGATCTTGTGCCTTAAGAACGATCAGTAAGTTAAATGTTCTTCATTAATCGTGCTTCTATGCAATTTTCACATTCAAGTAATCATTTTTATTTGCCTACGTCTATTTATTTAAAGACATTTTTTCATTCCCTTTCCTAACCAGCGTTAGCAACCCTTTCTATGCGAACTTCACATTTCCAAAAACGGCATAAAAATGTTATATATAGACTTGAGAAGCTAATAGTTTAGATGTCATCTAACTTACTCCATTAACTTTCACTTCATCTTTCTGTATAGGCCTCTCTAACTGTATTCTATAGCAACGTTTGTATATATTTTGCTGTGCAAACATCTTAGAGCTTTTTTTTGATTATCAGAGCTACTGAATGGCCAGCTACTAATTTGCATGTCCGGATCAACAGCTTGAAACTTAAGACTTTCAATGCTTACGGTAGTCATTGATTGCTCCCGCACTCTCTCTTTCTCTCCCCCACTATTACTTTCTCGCTTTAACAGGGCCAATCTTCGTTTGCCCCACATTTAAATGCGCATAAAGCCAACTTGTTTTTGTAGTTGGGATAAACAGATTCACTTGGACCCTCTGATGGCTGCTTGTTTATGGGTATTGTTCATTAGATCTGATTATTGTTAATATTTGAACAATGAGTGTTTCGCACTTGGGTGCAACCCCTTTTGACTTTTTTGTCAGTCATTGGCATTATCAAATTTAATGAGCTTTTATGCAGCACTTTCTCTGTCTCCATCTTAATGCTCCTTCTCTCGATTAAATGCCAGGTGACCAGATTGTCACTTGACCAGTCTATTACTTAGCCAGCTCCATTACAACTTGTAACTTGTTGGCAAGGCAACAGATAAGACACAGAGACAATAAGCCCGATTAGCAGCCAGAGCACCCACAACTTATGCAATGAAACAAAATATCCGGCTTGTGCTTCATGCTTGCATTTGCACAGTAAAAAATGATTTTACAGTCGCATGCAATTTTAAAGCAAACAGGACGATTCAACACTTGGTGTTGTAATAGTTGGGGGCTATTAAAGCTGGAGCTAGCTGCAGAGGATGAACTCTTAGACTTAAGATCCTTAAATAGCACAGACTTAGCCGAGCTTTAGCTTTAAGTAAATTCTTAGACTTAAGAGCTTTGATATGCACATTCGTGTGCTTTTAAAGCTGTTTTTACGGATGACTTTAAAATAGCGTTGAATAGCGAATGAAATGCTATTAAAGCTGATTTGAAAGTACTTTTTTATAAAGTGTTGCAATGTGCTAAACGTGTTAAATAAAGTGTTGCAATTAACTTATTTATAATATTTTTCTTAATGCTACCCAACACTATGATTTATTGTTTACATTGTAGTGTTGAGAATCTTGTTTGGTTTGGTTTCTGATTAAAGACAAATGTCAAGAAACAAGGGTGTAGTTTTCTGCGTCAAGGGGGACTTGAGATTGGGATCTATACCGAGGCAAGCCTGCAGTGCTCGACGCTCAAGCTGTGACCATCATAGCAAGGTATAAATCTAAAACAGACAGGACAGAGACTATCTCCACTACACTAAGCTGGCGGGGTATCTGGAGCTATAAAGCTGCTGATAGCAATGTCATCAGTTCCAGGATGGTGTCTAGTGGATTATTTAGCTATAAGACTTTTATGTTTTACTCTAGATATCAAAATTCTATTTACGGCTCCTACAACTTGCTTGCTACCTTAGCATAACATCATAAAAAGATACAAGCAGTACATTTACAAGAAAGATACAAATGTTTTTCTAAAGTTTCCACTACATTTTAAATGTATTCGACCTAAAAATCTATCTTTTATCATTATTTATACAACCATTAAATAACTTTACCTATTGAGAGTTTATTCAAGTGAACCCTTATCTATTGCTGCAAAAATTGAGTGCATTTTAAACTTGCCAACATGTTCGTTCTTCCATCTACTCAACCAGGCACTAACGAGGTCTGTTATAGTATACGTACTATATACTGGGCAGACCTTATGCTATAGAGAAAATATAAAAAAAAAGAGTTTAACCTTTGCTAGCCGGCAGCCGTTTAGCCAACCGCACATCAGTTTGAGGCCAGCTGCTGGCGCTTGCCAGAACTTGGCTTCTAACTTTTAGCGAGAGCTAAGTGCATTTTAATTTGTCTTTCATACTTAAGGGCGCTGCAACTCGACGCGGACCTGACTGTCGCTGCGGCAAATTACAGCAAATTAAATTTGAGGGGCCTGGAACAGGTGATTATATTCTGTACTTGCCGGAAAGCCGCAAACCAAGTGAGCGCTGCACTTCACTCTGTGGCCAAATGCAATCATGTTGAAGTCCATTATGGGGCGGCATAATTTAATATAAGACACTTTGCGATTGCACATCTCTGTTCATATTCACAAATTAATCGATCTTAATTGACAGCTGTCTCAGTTTTAATGCAATATAATTATTATTTCTTGACTTGGAAATTCAATTTGTAAATTTTGTTTACTTTGGCAACTCATAAGACGATTGCATTTTGTAATTGCGCCAATTACGAGCAGCTTGTTCAAAGAAAATGACCAACAGAGAAAGATTGGGAGAGAAAACAGAGAGAGAGAGAAAGAGGAGCGAAATAGTTGAGAATTACAAGTGCATAATTATGAATTCGTTATTGCTCATTAGCTCAATGGCCAGAGTGGAAGCCAGCCAAGAGGACAGCTCTCAATTAGACAGTGAGTACCAAAAATAGACGTACAGTGGAATACGCATGGACAAAAGATGCTGCCAAATTTAGTTTTTTAAATATATTATCTATAATAAACAAATTTTAGTTCTAATTTATAAAAATTAAATGAAATGCTAATCCCATTTTTGTACTGATTAAAACTCTCAGATTATTTGATTTATTTCAGGCTAAGCAAACATATTTGTATGTAAATTTCTAACATAACGAATAGAGAAAGCCACAAATTTGTCAAAATTTAAACTATTTTATGATGTGCTTCTTATTTGTTTTGTTGTCTGTTGTTGCCTTTTTTGTGGGTGTGGTCGGTAAATGTTATTGTATTATGCATTTTTCTTAAGTTTATTGTTAACGCATTTGACTTTAGTTGGCGTTGGCATTGCCATTTTCTCTTTCGTATTGTTTTCTTTTTTTTTTCTTTATTCTTTATTTTTTGTTGATGTTGTCCTGGCTGCCATTGTTCCATTTTGTTTGAAAAATGCCAAGAATACATAGCCGGAAACGGACATTTGCATATATTGCGGTTGTGCTTTCTGTTCGCTTGGAATTCCAGTGTGACTATGTATACCCTATGAGAAGTTCTGATGTGTATTTCATTATTTCTTTTTAAAGATAATAAAGTAACACATTCGCATAACAACCCTCAGAACTTGGGCCTAATTAATTGTTGTCTATATCGACTTATGATAAATCTGCATTGTATGGGGCAACATTTCTAACACAGTTATGCAAGAGTCAATCCACAAATCTTTACGCAGGGTACCTTTTAGTCAAGCTGTTTCTTGCCCTCTTATTTGTTGAAGCTTACTGTTGTAGTACCCGCATTTCCATAGCTTTGATTGTTGTTGCCTTCAGTGGATGCCCAATAGATTCTAGCCGGCAGATTTGTTGCTATGTTTGCCCAACTGGTCTGGTCAGGACTTCTCTGTTAGCATTTGCCGCCGCAGGCGCGTTGCTGGCAAAAACTATTTGAAATGTTGTCTTTCATTTCTTGTCAGCAGTTTTGGCGATAGCTTATCGCCAAAGTTGTTGAGCGTTTGTGGCAAGCGGACAGCAGATGCAGTTGCAGCTGTTCTGCATAAGCTGCAACAATATTTGGCTATCATCACCAATCCAGCAGAAAAATCAACTGGTTTTTGCTGGTGCTTCCAGTGACGAAAGCTGCGCAAAAAAACGGCCAAATGGCCAAATCGTCTAGATAGTTGCCGAGATAAGAAGGATTTCGGGCTTTAAGATGATCCCAGTTCAATGTCAATCGATTGGGCGAGTCTGCAATGCTCGTGCTTTCGGAAAAGGACACTATTTTGGTACCCAAAACGTAAACAAAACTAAACCGGAGGAACTCGAAAACTCATGCCTATATGAATTTATAAACGGGAAGCAGTACGAGGACTTTTCGGGTTTCCAACAAGAACTATTAACGTTGCCATATTTATAGCTTTCCTGATGTCCTTTGGCCAAGTAAATCAATTAAGTTTAAACTATTTGTCAAACGTTTTTTTAAGCTAACCCGCTGGGCATGTGCAGGTCCTATCCCAACAAGGCAAGCAACTGATAAGCGACTGATAACAGCGTTCACGAGAGGCGCGCTCTTCGTATTCGAACTAAGAGCGCAACTCTCCAAAATGAGCGAGATAGAGAGAGAGAGAGAGAGAGAGCGCGTCGAGCATTAAGCGAAGGCATAGCAGCTGCGACGCTGGCAGCGCAGGCAACGTTGATTCGCACAAGGCGCTAACTTGGCCAACGAAATGTGTGTTCGGGCGCAACACGAGCCAACGACGAGGACGTCGGCGGCGCTGCTGTAGCGTGGTCAGTGCTGTAGCTGCTACTGCGACTGCGACGCCTGCTGAGGCAGCGCGTTTTTGGGTGCGCTGGCGACGCTTGCTGCTGATAAACAGTTTTCGTTTATCATCAGTTTGTCGATGGCAACGCGCGCAACTGGACGTTCTTTCGCCTTCACCGAGACATTTTACGTGTGGCCCCCAAACAAGAATTTCACTTCATATATTCTGCATGTGTGTGCGTGTTAGACCGTGTGTGTGTGTGTGTGTTTTAGGGGCAAACTTTAAACGGTTTTATCAGTGCCGCAAGTGTTGAATGAGTCGCATTGTCAATTGTCCCGGCTACAAATTATTAATGCAAATCATAAAAATCAAAAATCGTATAGATACTTCTATATATTTGTGGCATGTACAGCGCGGCAGTTAATAAAGAGACAGCAAAACAGTCGGCAAAAAGTGAGTAGTAAATATAAATTAAGAAATAAATTCCTTACAAATATTTTCCAAATTAAAGAACAAGAAATATTTGGAAGCATAAAGCATTGGTTCAGAAAATAAATAAAAATTCGGACGAAAATAAATAATGACAAAAATAAAATGTAATTAAATGCATAGTACAGGAAATCTATATTGGCGAATAAAATTAGAGAAATAGAAACAATTAAAAATAAAGTTGAATAAAAAAAGTATTAAGAGGATTGTCCAAATAGTAGAATTTTTAGAATTTATGCACACTTAACTGAAATGGCATTTGGCTGCACAGAGAAATATCCGAAAATCGGCCAGCTCGTTAAGATTTCCCAGAAAATTGGTAATTGAAAAACAGTTCATGGAACTGGCAGCTATGAATTTCTAATTGCCAAAATGCCAGAAAAAAAAATTACAAGAAAAAGTTATCAAAGTAAAATGTATAGCGAAAATGTAGCTAAATAAAAGTACGCAAACGTATTTCATACAAATTCTTTTTTTTTTTTTTTGCTGAAACAAAACAAGCTCTAAAACGTATTTAGGGCATATAAAGGGCGGGATGGGGGAGCGGCTGGCGAGGCGCTGAAAAGTGCAAAGGTAGCACAAAAGCGCACAAGAGCCGAATGCGACTTGAGAAGTCGAAAATTATGTAAATGCAAAACATTTTTTATGCATGTAAACAATTTTTTGCGCCATTATGCGCCATCAAGTATGCAAAGATATGTTGCTCAGGCCCAGCAAAGCCGGCAGAGCCAGCAGACCGTGCTCCAGTCAGTCAGCCCGTCAGACACCTGACATGCCAGAAATCGTGTACAACGCGAGATTGTTCAGATTTATGCGCCGCGCTGTCAGCTACTGCCAGCTGCTGGCTGCTGGCTGCTGGCAAATCAGTTTTGTCATTTGCCTAAAAGTCAAAGTTACAGTCCCATTGCCAGTGAAAGTCAGAGGCAGAGTTAGCTCTAGAGTTGGAGCTGGTGCTGTAATCGCATTTGCTTGGGTTGTCACTTTAATTAAATTTAATATGCTACAGCCTTTCAGATACGTTGTCTTGCCTTCCATTTGGCAGTCAAGCGTGCAATATTTAACTTTCGAGTTTTGCATTCAATCCACGCACACAAAACTTGGCCTCTTGTCTACATGGCTACAACTTTGACAGAGCGACACACACACACACGCACACAAGCACAGGCATTTGGCATACACACACATGATGTGAAGGCTGACTTATCCATAGACAAAGTGCCACGTTTTTATTGTAATACGAAAATCCCTGGCATGCTTTTAGTAGACAAAATATGCGCCTTCTCGGCGCTAAATCGCCAACTGCCCCTCCAAGTCCGATATATACACTATGTATATATACGTATGTATATATCGCTCGCAGCTGGCGACATTTGTTACTTTTATTTACGCACAAGCCAACGAAATTGCGCTGGGCAAACGCTGGCAGCAAATAAGATTAACGCACGCTGCCGCTCGAGCTGAAAGTAGTGAGCGCCATAAAACTTATGCCAGCAGCCCAGATCGACCAGAGACACACACGCACACACACACACGTGCACAAGCCAGAACCGAAACTCAGAAACGCGTATCCCAAAGTCAGACATAGATGCACGGAGTTACGGTGCTGCCGGCGGTGCCGGAGGTGCTACTCATTCATCATCAAGTGGCGTCTCCTGTCAAGAGTTGTGCCCCCGCCCAAAACGTGCAACTTTCTCGCATATTATGCTGCTGCAAACAATGTTCTAAAAAACTTTCCACGCCATGTCATCTGCCCGAGCTGAGCATAATGCATGCTCGCCCTAACTCTCCAGCTCTCGCCCCTGGATGTTGCTTGAATATAATTTTGGGTTTAAACATTTTTATTGCCTACCTTTGGGCGCACGCCTAGGGCTTGTGGTTTATGACCTAGCCCTGGCCCCCATTGTAATAGTATGATTTTCTTCGTTGATTTAACTTATGTTCGGGTTGCCTTTTTATTTTTAACAACACGTCTTCTTACTGCTAGTACTGTAGAGAGACTGCCTTCCACTTCTTCTCTGCAGCCGCTTTTCTTTATCGATATTTACTTATCGTACTGTTATAATTAACATAGATAGTGACACTATAATACCCTGGCTAGGGTTACCAATGATGCTCTTATCCTATTACAACTCGGCCATCCTGACAAAGAGAGCTCCCGATCTCTGTCTTTTATATGTGTATCTATCTTTATAACTAATGCTTATTGCCTATTTTCGCATCCAATGCTTAAAGTTTTGGCTATTCCAGATACCAACGTACGGGTTGCGAGATAATTGAAAGCCTTCTACATCCTTTAACAAGTATCTATCATTTTTTAAAATCTTTTCTATACTATAAGGCCCTTTATATCTTGGTATTAACTTTTTTGAAACTCCTGGTGTGCTATCAAAATTTTTTACCATGACATAGTCACCTATTTTATATTCTACTGATACTTTCTTCTTTTTATTAATCCGCTCTTCATTTCTGATTTGAGCTTCTTTTTGATATATTTCTCCACTCTTTCTTATATTTTCTAAATTTCTTTTATCACACGTGTTCACCTGTGTAAACTCTTCTAATTTTTCTTTTAATTCATCAACAACTTTTCCTTTCTGTTGTAATCCGAATAACATTTCGCTTGGAAATTTCTTTATGCTTTTGTGTTGTGTGTTGTTTATTGCATATTCAACATTTTCTATAATAACATCCCAATGTAAACCATTTTCTGGCTCCGCCATTTTTGCCATCATCGGACCCAAGTCTCTATTCAACCTTTCCACCTGACCATTTGCTTGCGGACAACCCGTTGCTATTTTAATATGCGTTACTCCCTCATTTTTTAAAAATTCATCAAACTCTTTTGCAGTAAAACAACTCCCTCTGTCCGATACAATGAACTTAGGTCTACTATACGCTCTGAAATAATCTTTTAATGCCTTAATCGCTTCTTTCGTACTTGTTGTCTTTGCTGTATATAGTCTAACAAATTTTGAAAATCCGTCAACCACCGCCAATATATATTTATTAGCCCTTCCTGCATTAATTGGTCCATAATGGTCTATATGGATCATCTCCCACGGTTTGTTTCCTTTCGGTATGCTATGTAATAGTCCTTCACTCTTACCCGTCTTGGGGGCGAAGGCAATGCATTTTAAACAATTCCCTATATGCTTTATTGCTTTTTCCTTAATATATGGGAACCAGTAACTCTTTCCAATGGCATCGATCATCTTATCTCTCCCAGCATGTCCCAACTCATCATGATATTTGTAAAGTACATGTTCTTCCATATCCTTTGGTACATAAAAAACTAATCTGCCATCATTTGTTTTTCTGTAAATGACCCCATTTCTCATTTCGAATAGCTTGTGCTCTTCTTTTTCTAACATCTTTCTAATATCTACCAGTTTGTCATCTTTGCTTTGGCAAATAACTAAATTGTCCTCAAAACTATTGGATTCAATAACTAAAATGTCCTCATAACATCTGCTTAACGCATCCACATGTTGCATTTGCTTGCCCGATCTATGCACTAACTCAAAATCGTAATTTTGTAGTTCTAACGCCCATCTAGCAATTCTCGGATTTAAATCTATTTTGTTAAGCGTTAAAGTTAAAGAGTTGCAATCTGTCATTATTTTAAATCGTTTTCCCTGCAGATATATACGAAATCTGCGTAATGCGTAAATGATGGCTAGCGTTTCTAACTCAAAACTATGATATTTAGACTCTACTTCGGTTGTTCTTTTAGAAAAATAAAAAATCGGGTGTAATTTCCTATCTTCTTTTTTTTGAAATAAAACAGCCCCAAATCCCACTGCGCTGGCATCACAATGTAGTTCTATTTCTTCTTTGTAATTATATATTGATAGTACTGGCGCCTCTAACAATTTATCTTTTAACATATTAAAACACTTAAACTCCTCTTCTCCAAACTTGAATTTCTTATCTTTTTTCAATAAATCATATAAGGGTTTAGCTAATATAGAAAAGTTTAAAATGAACCTCCTGAAGTAGGAGCATAACCCTAGGAAACTTTGTACTCCCTGAATTTTGTTTGGTATTGGAAAGGATTTAACCGCTTCTAACCCTTTTTCATCAGCCCTAACGCCTTTACTATCCACCACAAATCCTAAATATTTAACGCTGCTTTTAAAAAATTCACACTTATCTAATTTCAACTCTAATTTGTTTTGCACCAGTCTTATAAACACTTCCTTTAAGGTCTCCATGTGTTCCTTTATGTTTGTACTTGCTATCATAATATCATCCATGTAAACAATTACCTTATTATCTTTTATCATATCACAAAATATGTTATTAACAAATCTTTGAAATACATGTGGCGCAGTTTTTAAACCCATGGGCATCCTAAGAAATTCATATTGTCCTAAAGGGGTAACAAATGAAGTGTATTTAATAGATTGCTCATTAACAAAAACATGAAAATACCCGTTTTTTAGATCCAACTTTGAAAATACTGTTTTTCCGCATAGTCTGTCTAATAAATCGTCGATCAATGGTAGCGGGTAGTTGTCTCTACATATAATTTTGTTCAGTCTTCTAAAATCAATACATAACCTCATGTCTCCAGTTTTTTTCTTCACTAGTACTATAGGTGATGCATACTCTGAACAACTTGGCCTAATGATTCCATCTTTTAAATAGTCGTCTAATAATTCTTGCAACTTTTCTTTTTCCATATAAGATAACCGCCTAGGTGTACAATTAAATACTTTGTCGTTTTCTAATCTTATGCTTAACTCATGTCTTAATTTTGGCTGATTTGGCCTTTTCGCTTTTACATAAGTATTTTCAAATAAATTTTCAAATTCACACTTTGTGCTGTAATCAATATCTTCACTTAAAATATATATATTTTCTCTTTTGTTAGAATCTTCCCAACTTATTGTTAAGATATCCTTCTCAAAATTCTCTTCTAACACTCCCATGATTTCGCTATTCACTGGCGCTTCATTAAC